CACAGACACCTGCACACACAGTCTGCCACACTCACCTTAACAGGAAGCAGGGACCCTGTGCTCTGCCAGGGCCCCTTGGGTATTCACACCACCAGTTGTGGCTGTACGAAGCAGCTGACTTCACAATCAGCCAACGCAGCCCGCTGAATGTCCAGTCCTGCAGGTGCCTCGCCAGGGCCAGACCCCATCACGTGGGTGGCCTTCAAGGTTTCTATGATGCCAGAGCCCAGGACACTGCAGGGCCCGGGACACTGCAGGGCCTGGGACACTGCAGGGCCTGGGACACTGCAGGGCCCGGGACACTGCAGGGCCTGGGGTCTGCAGGGGGTGTCCTGTGGTGTGGTACAGTCTGCATGCACAAGCTTGAGGCCCAGGAAAGCCGATGTTATGCGCTCTGACATAAAACCCAGCAGGCTGGACTCCCCAGCAGGGCTGGAAGCTGGAAGTCCCGGCTGGGCTGCAGGCCAGGGACCCCGGCAGGGCTGGAAGCTGGAAGCCCCAGGAGGGCTGCAGGCCGGAGGTCCCCAGCAAAGCTGTAGGCTGGAGACCCCAGCAGGGCTGGAAGCTGGAAGCCCCAGCAGGGTTGCAGGCTGGAGACCCCAGCAGGGCTGCAGGTTGGAGACCCCAGCAGGGCTGCTGTCTCTGCTGGAGTCCAAAGGCTTGGAGTCCAGAGCTGCTTCCCCCTACGAGGGCCATTGGACAGAAGAACCGTCAACCTTCAGATGCTGAAGCAAAGGATCATCTCACACTCTCTGGCTGTCTTGGTCTGGCTAGGTGGCATAAGGAGGCATCATGCACTGGGCAGCTTGCACAGGACTGGTGTAATTCTTGGCATTCAGAAATGGAGGTCTGAGGTGTAGGCACTGGTGGCCGTGGCTCACCGATAGATCCTTCTTGCATTTTTTAAGTAGTAGAAATCCCAGCTACTCTGGGGTCCTTCACCAGGGAACCAAGAACCCTCAAAGACTGCACTTCCCGCCACCATCACTCCAGGGGCTTTGAGTCCAACACATTGGGGCCAGCACTGTGGTGCAGTCGGCGGAGCCACCACCAGCAACAGCAGAATCCCATCCGGTGCCAGTTTGCGTCCTGACTGTTCCCCTTCTGTTCCAGCTCTGGCTAAGGTGCTTGAGAAAGCAGCAGGAGATGGCCCAGATGCTTGTATCCCACGAGAGACCTGGAGGAAGCCCCTGACTCCTGACTGCAGCACCAGCCCCAACCGTTTGGAGAATGAACCAGTGGGCGGAAGATTTCACTTTCTGCCTCTCCCTTTCTCTGTGTGTAAATCTCAAAAAAAGTTCTCAACACACGTATGTGGGTAGGATGCCAGCGTTCAGACTGCGGGTGTGGGTGAATACAGAGCTTAATCCTGGCTGCTAGATGCACCTGCATGCCAGCCAGGCTCTGCTGACGGCCAGCTGTAACCCTGGCCAGGCTAGCTCTTACATTTGCTCTCTCAGCCTCAGATTTCCTACCTTCACATAAGAGTGATTACAATTCTTAGTGGAGTTAGGGGTGTTACAGAGATGAAACTAAACTGTGCATGCAAGAGACTTAGCAAAATCACGCCATGTGGGGGATACCCAGAACATGTTATCCATGCTGCCAGTGGCTAATACACGAATACGGAGTGGTGGGTCATGCCAGAGTCTGCTCTCTGTCTGAAGGCAGGAAATGAGCCCTCCTGGGATGCAGGGCTGTGCAGGGCGATGTCCACAGGATCCCCGGGCCCCTGTCACAGAGTCAAGGTTTCTTTGCAGCTCTTGTCCCATATATTAGGAGAAGAGAGAAACGACCTTCCCACAGCACTATGCAATCATCGCTGAATTTTCCTTCCTTCTAATTTTAAGGTTTATTTATTTTTATTGGAAAGACCAATTTACAGAGAGAGGGAGAGACAGAAAAAACTTCCATCCACTGGTTCACTCACCAAGTGGCCGCAACAGCCACAGCTGAGCTGATCCGAAGCCAGGAGCTTCTTCCTGGTCTCCCACGCAGGCTGCAGCATCCCAAGACTTTGGCCGTCTTCTATTGCTTTCTCAGGCCACAAGCAGGGATGGGAAGTGCACCAGCCAGGACAGGAATCAGCATCCATATGGGATTCCCGGCGTCTGCAAAGTGAGGATTAGCCATTAGGCCATTGTGCTGGGCCTGAACACTGCATTTTCAGTATCGTTTTTATGACCTGGCTCCACCTCAGAGTCCATTATCTCTCCCGCACAAGATGGCTTCTCTCTTGCTCGCCCAGGACTAGTTCTCTAACACACTCAAGCCCTCCCTGCCACTGCGAGGCCCCAAGCATTTACACACACATACACACACACACACACACACACGCCTGTGCAGAAGACTCCGCTTGGAATGGTTGCTGCTGATCTCACGTTGACCCTGGCGTAGAGCGGTGATGAAGCAGGCTCTGTCTGTTTAGAATTCACAGGTGAGAGGACAGTGTCCACACTAGGGCCATCAGGTGGGGTCAGGGCCAGCAGGAGCCAACAGCAGGGAGATCAGACCTCTCAGCCGCTCGCTGAAATCTCCCCACTTTACAAACAAATCCACAGAAACTGTGGGAGTGGACCTTGGCACTAAGGCTGCTTCTTCCACTCCCTCGTTAGCCCTCTGTTACGCCGCTGCCTCCACGAAGCCCTCCTGGACCATTCGCTCTTTGGGAGCCCCTGTTCTGAACGACTCTTGTCCAGCGCTGTGTTTTCTTCCAGCCCCTGTTGCTCCATCTTTCGCGTGTTGGTCTTCAGACTCCTTGGTCCGGCTGCCTCCACCGGAACATACAAGCGCCATGAGAACCAGAGCCGTCTCCTCTGCTAAGTTAGGCTACTCCGTGTTTTCGGCATTCAGGAAGAGTCTGACATAGGACGGACTGTCCATCCAGGTTGACTGGCTGGGTGAACACGCAGAACCAAAGGCAGGTGGCTAGTGAGCGGCAAGACAGAGCTCAAGCCTGGATGCTTCTTTTCCCCAATCCTGGAATGTCATTTTTCTTAGGGGCCCTGGCTGGATTTAGGGCTTGCTTATTTTTCCATCTCCCTGGGCCATGCGATGGTGGCAGAGGTGTCTCCGTGCCTCTGGGGGCTCCCACGGGGATGCTGCCTGGCTTCCAAACACTGCCTGGATTTGCTGGGATGGGCAGCATGAGTTTCCACAGCAACTCCAGAGCAGCAGGTGAGAAGGCTGCAGGTCCTAGGAGATGCACTGCCTGCCAGGAGCTCCCCAGCAGGCAGGTCCACATCCTCACATCACAGGTGGCTTTGCAGATGTCAGCGCGTGCTGAGCCGGCTCTCTGCGCAGTTGGCCACAGCTTCCCACCTGCTGTGGCGTCTTGACCTGAAATCATCACTGGTACAACAGACCCGAAGCTTACCCAAAGCCTGGCGAGGAGCAGCTGCGGGCAGCAGACACGCATGCGCGCTTCAGGCTGTGAAGACCCGGGATCACTTGTCTTGCAGCAGGATTGTAGAGCCAGCAGACTCCTACTGCGCCTGAATTTCCTTTAAAAAACAAATGATCTCAGCCACTCTTGGGGCAGTCAAGACTCGGATGTGAAATTCAGTTAAATTCATTCCGTGTCCAATATTAGCATCCTGCTCAGATCTCAGAATCTGTTCTCTTGCTGTCTTCCCCGTGTGGTACCCAGAATGTGGATGCCGAGCTGCTCCTGGAGAGCCCAACCAGCGAGCTATTGGGGACATGCAGCGTGTTCTACTTACCAGCACCACCCCAAGAACCAATGCACTTGGGCTCTGCTAGACGGCACTCAGGGCGTCTCTGCTCCACTGGCAGCTGCACGCGACCCTCGGGTCCTCATTCCCTGTCTCCGCCTCTCTCCATCCCACTTCCTGCTCAAGGCTGAAAGTTTGAACCACCAGGGCCGCCTTTGCTAGCTGAGCTGGAGTTTGAGCGGGCATCTTGCTGGCTGTCAGCACAGCAAGCCCGAGCCAGACGCGCATCGCTGCACTGAAGAATGTTGACAGCGCTCAGCGCAGAAGCAACACCTTTGTGGGTTGTATCTTTGCGTGGAAAAGCAAAGGGCGGAACAATGAGCATTGTCCATCATGATCTGTGCACTTAGGAAGCACGCACGCATGAGTGTTTAGATCTGCATGGGAAGGCTCCAGAACACTCCGGAAATGTAGCAGCAGTTGCCTCTGCTATGAGGAGGGGTACGGGTGGCAGAGAGAATTATTTTTCACTGAATATTCCTTGAGAGCTTCCTAGGGTGCTGCACATGTTCCTATCACTCCAAGTAACACATTTTTCAAAAGCAAGCCAGCACATTTGGTGCAGTCGGCCCCGCTCACTGGGATCAAGCCCCAGCTGGGCTCAGACCCTGGCTTTCTGAAGGGGCTGGGGAGGAAGTGGTATTTTCCTGCAGTTCTATTTTCTGCACCCCTCTCTCTCTCTCTCTCTCTCTCTGGTTGAGGTCCCAAAGAAGCACCCTTGGGGGCTCCCCAGACAAGAGACAGGGCAAGAGCTGGAAAGCACAAACCCCTGTCTTTCACAAATGGAAATTATTTTGTCCATTCCTGCATCAAACGCTGTGTATTGCAAGACTGGAGCCCATCTGCTGCTTGCGATTGGTTTTGTTTCCAAAGACCAAAACACGCCCCTTGAACTGGCTCTGGCTGGGACACTTACATCATGAATGGCCATGCCAGAAGTCAGGGTCCTCACATTCCCACCTGCCGGCCAAGGATGTTTTTCTGTTACGTTCTAATCATATCATTAGGGTTTGTTAATTGTTTCAACAAACATCTATGTCCATTCATTTAAAAAAAGGCCCGGGTAAATAAATCGACTTTCAAATCATGTCCTTCTGCAAACACCAGCTGCACAGGAAAAGGAAGGCAGCCGCTCGCTCAAGTGCAGGGCTGGGACTGGCCGTGAGCAGGCACGAAGCAGGGGAGCCTCTGTTGATGTGAGCTGCAGCCACAGGAAAGAGCCTTGGCGGAAAGCAAGAAAGCAGAACAATTGTGTGAACGCAAACATCTGGCCACTGCGTCGTCAGGTCTACGATTCGCGCCTGCTCTGGGCTGATTGATAGGGAAAAGTCTTCACCAGAGGCTGCAGGGATTCTGTTTTGTATTACAAAACAGCGTAGTGTTTAACAGCAAACCCGTGGAGCACGGTGACGCTCAGGCACGTTTCTGACGTTGGCTGGTCCGATCTCCATCAGCGCTCTATGGAGAGAGTTGTACACAAGCTGGAAGTCAAAGCACGGTGAGCAAAGCCCTCCAGTTAGGGCTCAAGCGAGAACACACAGTGTGCAAGACGCCATCTTGGTGTTGGCTCTCACAGGCAGATCTGTGCTGCTTAAGATGACGCGTTTGTAAACACAGATGTCAGGGGTGGCACGTTTATTTTTGTAGTTCTGTGTCCTGTGGTTCCCCCAACGGATTCCTGTCCTTGTCTTTTTCTACGTCACAAGAGACAAACAGGATTTAAGTGATGCGTTGGATGGCTTGCTTCCCTGAATTGTGTCTGTGGCCACGAGCTGGACAGACTTTGTCCCACCTGCAGACGCGACAGCTTCGTTTTCACAACTGTCCCGATTCCTATTCCCTTTTGCTTGGGATGACAGCCTCGTCGGCTGGCGCTGCCGGCAGCTAAAAATTAGTCTGCTAGTCATTGTGCCTGGAGATCAGCTATTAAGTTTATGTGCTTGTCAAATTGTAAACTCGATGCCCAATTTAAAAGTCATTAGAGGTACTGACATTTGATTGGGCGCCAATGTGGAGAAGCAGGCGAGTCTCTCAGGCTGTTGCCCTAGCTATCAGGGGGCTCTCTCCTTCTCTTTGCCACCTCCCTTGGCAGCACCTGCGCCAGGGGGTAGGGGTGGGGTGGGGGGCAGACAGCTATGGGAAATGAAAGCTGTACTGAGCAGGCACCACTGAAAGCAGATTCAAGTGTGTTACGTGCCTAGTCTGACAGCCAGGCTGGGGATGAGTAATTGATGGCACATTTTTAGGTTGAAGGGAGATTTAAAAACTGATGGTCACAGCTATGAAAGGGGTTTAGAGTTTAGTTGGCTGGACATTTATTATTAAAAAAAAAAAAAAGTTTGGATGTTCACTTTTGTGCCCAGGGTGCCTGGGTTCCAATTCTGGCTGGATTCTGGAGTTCAGTTCATGCACACCCAGAGAGCAGACAAAGCATGGTCCAAGTAGCTGAGTCCCTGCCATGCATGTGGGAGACTTGCGTTAGTTTCCTGGCTTCCAGTTTTGGCCTGCGCCAACTCCAGTTGTTGCAAGCATCTGGGAGTGAGCCAGCAGGTGAGAGATCTTTGCCTCTGTCTCTCAATCTCTTTGTGCCTTTTAAATTAATAAATAATTTTTAAAAATTGACTTCAGGGAGGACTTACAATGTACTCATATGTGCTGTTCTCCATGTTGGATTAATAATCCTTTTTCATTGTTACAGCAGTTCAGTTGGCTGTGTGCGGTTGCAGAGATATGACGTGCCAGGGCCAGGATTCAGGTTCAAGACAGCCTGGCCCCAGGAACTGTGCTCTTAGTTCCACACACCTTCCCCTGGGCCAGAGGCAGGGCACAGCTGCCAGAGGACACAAGGAGACTGTGCCTATGGGTGCTTCACTGGAAGAAGGTCATGGCCACTGGCCTCATGAAGCTCACACACACTTAGTATCATCCTCCTGAATTTGCTGGGATGATGCAGGCCACATCAGATCATTTGGGTGGAAATAATATCAAGTAGAGCAGACAGACAACGTTGGAACCAAATTCACTCTTCTGGGCTTCAGCAGCTCATCCACCCAATGTTCCCATCTCCTCCACATTTTAAGCTTCAGATGACATTGGCCCAAGAAGCACCTTGAAGGCAGGCACAAGTTTGTGGTCACTCCAAGGCAGAACTGCTACCCATGAGTTTTTGCCTTTGTTGACAAGTGACTGCCAGGATTGTGGGGAACATTCTGGCAGAATGAGACACGGGATTGAGAAGGGCAGAATGGGCAGTGGGTGGTGGAGTTTGCAGACATGAACACACTGTCTGATTTATGAAAGAAGTTTATTGTGTAGATATTAAATATCCACAGAATCTTTAGAGGAGCTGAAGGGATAGCCCTAGGCTGATGTTATGAGATGCCTGGGGAGAGAGCTGGCCTTACCACAAGGAGATGCCTCGTATTGACCCTAGGACCAACCAGGTGGCCCTACCCATTTGTACCAGCAAAGAGGTGCTCCCTGCTTTTGTTGTTGAAATTCCTCGTGGGTACAGAAAAATGCAAGGCACTGAATGGCTGGGTGGAGGGGAGGTGTATGGGAGAAATGAAGTTTGCCTGGTTCCTGCTTGGAGTAGGCAGGACTTGTGGAGGACTCTTAGACCATGGTGTTTGCAGTCATAGGGCACCTGCTCTATGTTATCCACAGTCCCGATGATGGTGGTGGTGACTGTGATGGCTGGCTACGGTGGTGACTGTGATCATGTGCGCTCACTGGGCACCTGCTCTGTGTTAACCACAGTCCCAATGATGGTGGTGACCATGATGATACAGACTAGAGGGGATATTACATTTTTTCCTCTATTTTTTTCTAATGCAACAATGTCAACATTTTACTTTGGATAATGCCCCCTGGGATGTTGGTATTTGGGTAGAACTGATCCCTCCATATTTTCAAGGTTGGATCAGAACCCGAGCTTAGCCCAGGCAATTCACCCTTACCATAGTGCACTCAGGAGTGGGCACTGAGTCGTCTGCAGACCAGCGAGCATCAGGTCTGGGATTTGCAACTGAATGCTGGATCGAAACATTGAAAAATGGAACTTGTGTTGCTTGGTTGCCATCTTACCATCAATGGAACCACCAGCAAAGCCAACAAGAGAGAAGGGAGATAGCCGGGGCCTTTAACAACATCTCAGCCCTTTGCATTAAACTATTCCTGTGGTTGGCATATTTCCCGAGTTTTTCAATCGTATACCTTACCAAAGCCCCTTCATCATCAAATCATATTTCATCATGCTTGCTGCAACTTCCTTCCAACTTTGTTTTGACACACATAGTTAACACTCCGCATGCTAACTATGCTTTGGCATTTCACACCGTTGCATCTCAGAAGCAGGGCAATAAGATGCCAAAAGATCCCAAACTTGTCCATCTGACTTCAAAATCCCCACCCTTAGTTTCTGTGTTGCACAGGGACACAGGGGAGGGAGGGACAGAACTGCCAGCTCCTTGGGACTTCAAAGCAGGCTGATGCTGTGTGTCCTTGGGGACGCAAGAGTGTATTTTGGATCCTGTAAAAGGTTATTGCATTTATTGGGAAGACACGGTGAGAGAAAATTAGAAAGAGAGAGAGAGAAGGAGATCTTTGATCAGCTGGCTCGCTCACACAATTGCATTACGTCTCTTGTCAAGCTGACCCTGTGCTATGCCCTGGCAAGTGGCCGAGGAGAAGGGACGCCGTTGAAGTGTGAGGGTGTAAGCCTCTCTGTGTGTTGGTGCTAGAGCAAGGGCGTGTGTGAGGGTGCAGGAAGAAGGGCTAAGGTCACTTCTAACTCGACCTTCAACTGTGAAAGAGCACGAGGCACCTCGACGCCACACTCCACTCTCCTTTCCTGGGACGGTCCAGCAGCCGCAACAACAACAAAAGGTGTCATGATTCTCCCAGCACAGTTGAAGTTTTCAGTTTTGGAGCCTTTTTATCCTTTCACAGATATGTCACTCTCCCTTCCAGGAATGCCCCTTCCTTGTGTCAAGCAAACACTTATCCCCCCACATTTAGCTAACTGACACCTCCTCCGGGAAGCCCTCTCTGATCTCTGCGCCTTGGCTTGTTTTTACTCTCTAGGTTCCCACACGTGAGCAGTGATAACAGCCGTTAGTACACTGTTATCTGACTACCATTCATCTGACCACTCTGTGGGTCGAGGAACTTCTCTGGTTTCTGCTTGCGTTTCCTGCACCAAGCCTCATGCCTACGCTCAGTGGGAACCTTGCAAATTGTGGCAGGAAAGCCCTGTCTCTTTCGCTGCCCTGCCCCAAGCCTCCAATGCGTGTGTAATGACTAAGGTTCTGTCTGCCAGCCCCGGAGTGCAAGCTGTGCCATCTCACAGCAGGTGGAAAGGGGCTCAGGTAACTTCCCTGTAGCATAGGTAGCAATGACATCTCATTGGGTTATAATGAATACTTAACAAAGCATTTAGCTATCGTGTTAGATATGATTGTTGCTATTAATTGACTAAGCATTGATTAAGACAGTCATTACTCATCATGTAGTATTCTGAGAAACAGCAATAGAAGCTTCTCTTTTCATGATCAAGCTATGAAGGCATGGCCAGAATGCCACAGGTGTAAATTATCTGGGTAATGGAGCTGTTACATTTTCCCTTGATTATCCTCCACAGTTGCCCCAAGGTTTTCTCTGCAATGGCTGATGGCTTCTTGGCTTCACACAGACACGGTGACACAGCCCAAGGAAAGCAGGCGCTCCCTCTTGAACTTGAAACCAGACTTTCTCGAGAACACATCCCGACAGAGCTTGAAAGCTAGCTTTTGTGGAGAGTGAGAATATTGCCGATCATGGCTGTTTCAGCTCTGCTGGGTTGGCTGGGGCTGCAGCCACATGGAGCAGAGGGGAGCTCTCCTCGGAGCCCTGTTCACGCTGCAGGTGTGTGGGAAAAGTAAAATCTATGGGCATGGGTTCAAGTGTCTACACTGCGAGGTGTTTTTTCCCTAGCCACAGAAAGCCACTGGCCTTGCATGCTCTGCCTCATTTATTTCAAGAGCTGATGGTCTCACCCTTATTTTCCAATCATAACAATTGAAGGTTTGCTTAAAAAATCAGATTGTGATGAAAGGTTGTCAAAGAGAGTAAACGTCCATGTGGATTGGAGTCCAGGGTGTCTGACCTTCCCCTTGGATGATCTCTTAGGGCTGTAACTCATAGATGTGTGTGTATGTGCGTGTTTACAAAAGGAACTCATCCATTCTTCTCTGTTCAGCCTCATTCAACCATCTGCCCGTGCTTTCTCACACCAAGAAACAGAAACAGAAAATTTTTAAAATCTTGGTGGGACACTGGAGTGGTACCTAGCAGTGGAGACACTGTGCCAGGAAACTCCGTCCCTGTCACCAGCTGCAAACATGTGCCTTGGCCAGGGCCGCCATCTTGCTTCAAAGGCTTCAAATGCTGCTCTGTGTCTCTGGACGTGAGCTCTTAGAATTCCCCCAACAATCACAGGAACTCTTTCTCTCTTTTTGAGTTGACTCATGGCCGTTGTCGCATTTACGGGGTGCTGAGAGGGTCCCACGCCTTCACAGCTTGTGTGGTAAGGAGTCCCATTTCGTCTTAGACTGAGTTATCACCTGGCCCAGGGGTCTGAGCACAAACTCTGGACATCTTCGTGAAGCAGATGGCACAGGTGTGGCATGAGGCAGATGGCCAGGCTCCCTGCCTGCCTGACTTGATGGAAGATGTTACTTCTGCCCAGCGAGAGGATGGGACACGCAAAGGGAGAGAACTAGGACCTCCAGAAGGCGAGACATGAGGAGGGAAGCTGAAAGCTGGTAGAAGCACCTTGCCTGGCTCCCTGAGTGCTGGCTGAGGCCTGGCACCATGGGATCCGCTGCTTAAGCACAAGGGAATTGGTAAGGAATGGTACAGACAAGGTTTCCTGGTGTCACAGAGCTTCCCTCCCATTGGCCTGGTGGGCAGTGAAAAACCCAACGAGGACATCCTGTGGCAGACGAGACAGTGATGAACTCTCTGAAAAGAACAAGGCAGAAAAGGGGTTGCATGGCAGAGCCCACGCCATTGCCAGGTCAGGACGGAGGGTTTTGCTGAAGAAGCAGCAAGCTTACAAGAAATTTCATCTCCCCAAATGTTGAGCTCACGAATGCACCATGGAGCAGCTGTGCAAAGAATAGCTGAGCCAGCGTCTAGAATCTTCAAAGAATGATGATGGACATTGACTAAAGGCTGGTGCACGAGCTTGACAAGCAGATGATTGAGTGATGGGACCCAGTGACACAACCTTAAGAGGCAGGTGCGGGAAACGATGACCAGGAAAAGGAGAATGGCTTTGAGGCAGCAACGGGTAACAAGGACGACACTGTGGTTGGTCAGGAGAAAGGTCAAGGGTTGTACCCCAGGTCCTTCCATCTTATGAGCAGCATGGAGGAGACAGAACAGCCATACAAGACATTGGGAGAATGCCCCGGGGGACCACACTTCTCAGTCTGTGCTGCTTCTGTGTCTTCCCAGGAGAGATGCAAGACCAGGTTTGTCGGTTTCCTGAAGGCAAAGTGATGACCACCGCAGTAATTTTAAAAAGTGATCTGAATCTGAGTACCACTACCCCACAAAGTCCACCTTCTCTATGCAGAACAAGAAAATCCATGAGAGGTAAGTGCCAATTAGGAACAGATGGTTCTCCAAGTTTTCTTTTGAAAGTAATTAAAATGTGTTTATTGTAGAAAAGTTAAAAATTAAAATAATCTATGACATAATAAGAGAAAATGAGGCACATGTGATACCACTGCCTTGAGATTGATGGAATGGAATGGAAGACCACTCCCCGTGTGAAAGTGTGTGCCCTGATACCTGCATAGCACAAACGCGGAACCAAATGGATGCACAGCTCCAGAACTTTTTTGATTGAATGATGAAGCATGAGCAGTTTTGCAGTTAATTGATGTTCTTACATGTCAACCTAATGGCAGAGAGTATTGCGGTTCAGAAATGACTAATTAGTCATTCAGCTCTGTGGTAGAAAGTGAAGTCTGTTTCCGGTTCACTGTCAGCAGCAGCAGCACCAGGTCAAACAGTGCTTGAGCTGCAACTGTGGACGAAGTTCTTTAGTCTACTTTGTGCTACTATAACAGAATAGCTGAGATTGAATAATTTACGAAGAACAGGAATCCACTTCATATAGTCCAGGAGGGGCAGCATCCGGGGAGAACATTCTTGCTTTATCTTCCCAGAAGGGCAAGAATATGAGGGACACAGAGACAAAGAACTGGAACTCGCAGACTCAAACCTTAGAACAGCAATCAATTCATGCACTAAGACGCTCCCAGCACTGCCAGATTTGGGATCGGTTTTCCAACACGTGTGTGTGTGTGAGTGGTGTGTGTGTGTGGTGGGTGTGTGTGAGTGGTGTGTGTGTAAGTGGTGTGTGTGTGTGGTGGGTGTGTGTGGTGTGTGTGTGATTTCAAATCCATAGCAAAAACAATGACTTCTTATTTCCTGTGGATGAGCTCCTGGAACTTACTGTCTCAACATGCGCCAAATGAGTCAAAGGCAACGCAGGATGTTAGGCTTTGAATGCATATTCACACGCTCCTGAAATACACAAGTTTCTCCAAAAGTTCAAGAGAAATGCATCCTGTGAAAAACTGTGCTTGAACTTAAATACTTTCTAAATGGAAATAACTGCGTTTGACACAAACTTCGGGAAATATCCTTGTCTTATCAGTTGGCACCCTTCCCGGTGGGGTACGCATCTGTCCATTTCCCCCCTCACCTGTCTCAATGCTGTTGTTCAACATTGTGCCCTGGGACGTGTCCTGCTGCCTTCTGATTCGTGTCTGCGGTGTGATGTCACCGATCTCCTTTGGCCTTTTGCTCAGATGGACCTGCTGTAAGTCCCGGAAGCCTGCACTCCTATCGGGACGGGGAAGCCAAATGGCAGCTAATCGAGGAACACTGGCCTGGTGGCTGTTGTCCTGTCCTAGGCATCCCTACCAGCCCGGGCTGGAGGTTCTTCCTCCAACCTCCTGTGGCTGTCGGATGCTAGGATCCTTTCTTTTTTTTTTTAAAGATTTATTTTTATTATTTTTTTTTTTTATTGGAAAGGCGGATATACAGAGAGGAGAGACAGAGAGGAAGATCTTCCGTCCGATGATTCACTCCCCAAGTGAGCGCAACGGGCCGATACTATGCTGATCCAAAGCCAGGAGCCTCTTCCGGGTCTCCCAACGGGTACAGGTTCCCAAAGCTTTGGGCCGTCCTTGACTGCCTTCCCAGGCCAAAGGCAGGGAGCTGGGAGGGAAGCGGGGCTGCCGGGATTAGAACCGGCGCCCATATGGGATCCCGGGCATGCAAGGTGAGGACCTTTAACCACTTGCGCCACCGCGCCAGGCCCTAGGATCCTTTCTTAAAGCTGGTGGATGGGAAGGTCAATCTCAAGTCAAGTGCATTCAGATAGAATTCCTCTTGCCTCAAGATGCTTTCTTTACTAACATGTGGCTTTCACAGAAATTTGAATTCTCCCTGTGTCTTTGTTCAGCCTGATAGAGATCTTTCAATTCAACTAGGATAATATTGATTGAGCCACTCTGTGGCTCCTGGGGATGCCCCAGACTTGTTGAAAGCCAATATCCATTCTTCCTTTCTGATAACTCCCTTTCCTCGTTTCGCTTGGTGCTTTTGCTCAACTCCCAGCATTTCCTCCTCGACCCCTCTCAGGATTGACAAAGCTGTGGCTGCTGTCCTGTTCCTGCCCGTGGCAGTCTGACTCACCGGCCCTGTCTCTGGCTGTTTTACCAAGTCTTCACAGCCAAGTGGAACCCTCGAGTGAGCAGCTGTTCTTCGGAAGCCCCTCCCCCCCCACCCCAGCATCTGTAAAAAACGCATTGTTCTGACCATGATTTCACCTCCACAACAATGACCTGTGGTTAAGAAAATTTATTTTAAAAAAATCAGGAAGAATGGGGAAGCACCTGAATAAACGAGGTGTTGTTTGGAAGCATAGCAGATGATGCAGCATTTTCAGGGGCTCTCAAAGTTGAGTCATGGTTTCCCTTTTGCTCAGAGCACGCGGAGTCTCTCGTTAAAGGGACTGCAGGGAAGGAGATGGAGAAGGGAAACCGTTTGTCTTCCTTCAGCAGGGCCTGGGGAACAAAAATCTGGGTCCCAATAATGGTGAGCTGAGCGCGGCTCTCTTTTTACAATGTTTCTTCTTCTTCTTCTTTTTTTTTTTCTTCACTTGAAAAGCAGAGAAAGAGGAAATAAGGAAAAGGAAGAGCTAGAACTAGAGAGAGAGTTGGGTGAGAGAGAGAGTGAGTGTGTCCATTCTCTAGCTCACTGCACAAGTGCGAGACAGAACAGAGGCTGGGCTCAGCCCTAACTAGGTGCTGGGAACCCCAGCTGGAGCTCCCACATGAGCGGCAGGACCAAGGACTTGACCACCCTCCCATGCTCTCCCAGGCCTGTTAGCAGAGCAGCCAGGCCTCAAACAGGCACTCTGCAGTGTGTGAGATGGGCATCGCAAGCAGTGGATTGATCTACTATTGCACAATTGGAGCCCTTGACTGTCTCTTACTATAGCATTAGATACAGTTTACGGGGAAAATGAGCTGCAGCTTTCAGTGTAGCTTACCTGCGAAGACACACAGCTGAACCTGCTGACACACTCTTAAGTGACACCACTCTGTTTCCAACACGCAGACGGATAATACGAATGGTCTTCCACACAAGTGATAGCATCAGGTGCTGGAACGGAGTCTGCTAGGGTGTGGATATGGAAGTACCTCTTCTTTCTCTGTTGGATGGGCAAACCAGCACCATGGAGACAGAACAGGGAAGTTGCCTCCCACCCATCAGCTGCTGGGTGGGATGCAACAATGCCAGCCCTCTTTGCCCCAGGCCCGTCTCTCTCCACTTTGGGGAGTGCAAGCCAGTGATAGATGCAGTGTTGCTGCACGCAGGGAGCTGGGGCGGTGTGCAGCATGCACAGCACAGCTCAAGACACGATGCCAGATGGCACTTAGGAGCTGGGCACAGGGGACGGCTGTTGGGAGGGTATATTAGCAGAGATGGGGAGGGTTTGGCACCGCTGGGTGCCCCCTCATCCCTCTTGGGGGCCCCTGCCCAGTGCATTATCCAATTTTGCTTTTAGATATCCATTAAGCACACACGCTCCCCTTTTAATGGACCGATTGGGATGTTATTGAGAGGGGGTTTGGCAGAGAGACCCACCAAAATCTGAAAGGCGAGAGTGGCGGTGGGATGGGAGGGAAGATGGAGACAGAGCTGCTGTCCCAGTAGCACCACAAAGGGGCCTTGTTGGAACACTCAAGGGGTAACGTTCATTTCTACGTGTCATTGGCCTCTCTTGGAGAGTGGGGTATCACCTGTCCCAACTTTCCATTTCACCCAAAGCACATGTCTCAGGAATTGTGAGACAGGCGGCAGCCCAGCATTCCGACCCTTCCTATTGAGGTTTTGCACATTATGCCTCATAATTTACGAAGCATTCTCACATGTGTTATTTATTCTCCTGTCAGTTACCCTACTGGCATGTCTGTCTGGCTGATGTGGAAGCAGACACAGGGAGACGTGATCCTGCTTCTGACCACGCAATGAGAGAGCAATGCATTTTCTTCCTGGAAGCCTGGCCTACATGGATAGCTTGGTCCACAGTTGCCCCTGCTGAGGCACCTGCTGTATGCCAACGCTTGATGCCCATGCTTGTAAGGCTGTGAACAAGCCCATGAAGAAGATGCTATTACCATTCCATGCCTATGACAAAAGCAACAATTTGAGGGCAACACATCCTGCTCTGCTGGGTCCCAGGTAGGCCAAGGGTAAGCCAAAATATCTGAATGCAAGTCTATCTTGACTCTAGAACTTTATTCTTTTCACTCTTGCAAGTACGACAGGGAATCATTGATGTGCACTTACCGTCTCCCACCCCCGTGGCAGGTGCTGTCTCTATATCAATGCACTTAATTTTTGTAGTGAGACTACGACATCAGTTTCAGGGATGTCCTGTTACGACTTGAATGAATCTCCCGATGGGTCCTGTAGAGGAGCAGAATGCCTCAGAGCCCTAGATAGTGGTTGAGAAGGTAGAGCCCCTGGGAGGGAAATAGGACAAGATGAAATCAGGAAGAGGGCAGGGGCACTCTGGGGTGGCATCAGTGGCTGTATAAGACCAGGAAGGGGCAGTGCACCTGCTTTGTCCCATTGTGTGATGCCCTTGGTGGCACCAAGCCCTCAGTGGATGCCAAGCAGATGTTGACTCCATGCCTTTAGATTTGCCATATGCCAGAACCGTGAGCCAAGTCAGCATCCTCGTTAAGTTACCTGAACTCATGAGCTCCCACACAGCCATGCTGTTTTCACTTTCAACAGAATATGCAACAAATTTCATGAGATTTCAGTGTTATGAGACAGGTTTTGTGTTGGTTGATCTGATTAGCCAAACTGGAAAATTCTCAACCTATCTGCTAAGACTAAATGAACCAAGTCAGCCATTTCTAAAGAATCCAGGAATAGAGACGGGGTACTCAGGGAGAGGCTGTGGAAAACCATTGTGTCAGTGGTGTAGACCTGTCAACATCCACGGGAGACTGAGGGTTTGAGGTCCTTTTCACCAGTAGCAGTGCTGAAACAGAGAGAGATGTGATGACATGAGAAACGCCTCCGAGGGAAGAACCAGAGGCTTCAGAGGCAGAGCCTCTACCCGGAGCTCCAGGAGTGAGGCTGTCACCACGGGCCAAGAAACAGCAGGGAACTGAAGTGGGGCATCCTCGGGCGTGGGAACCTGATGGAATCTTCTCCGACAGTTGCTGATAGCCTTAGTCCAATATCCATTCTGTCCCTTACACCTTGCAACATAGCCTTCTAACAAAGCAAGGGAGCCACACAGACAGAAGTGGAGATTGGAGTGATACATCTCAGTCAAGGAACTGGGGCTAGTACTTCAGCAGCGTGGCTTAAGCTGCAGCTTCCCTTACCAGCATCCCATACCAGAGTGCCGATTCGAGAGCCAGCTGCTTCTGATCCAGCTCCCTGCCAATTCACCTGGGAAAGCACTGGGTGATGATGGCCCATGTACCTGGCATCCCCGTGGGAAACCCAGGTGGAGTTCCAGGCTCCTAGATTTGGCTTGATCCAGTCCTTCTGTTGTGCCCATTTGGATAGTGACTCAGTGAATGAAGCTTGCTCTTCTCTCTCTTTCTGCTCTATTCTATCTTTACAATGAATGAATGCATAAACAAATGTTTTTAGTAAACAAATAGAAGTCCAGGAGCACCAAGCACTAACAGCAACATCACAATCTAGGATTAGACAAGGAAGGATTCTGTCCTACAGCCTGCAAAGAAGAGATGGCTCTTCATACACCTTGACCTTGAACTCACAGCCTTCAGCGCTGTAAGACAGTGAGTGCCTGATGCTCTACTTGGCTGAGCTTTGCTGCTTTATTTCGGCAGCTCTGGAAAGCTAACTCAGCTGCTCCGTCTGAACGGTTGTGGTGGTGAAATAGGTCAAGTGGGTGAAAGAGCAGGTTTGGGAGATTCAAGACAAAGCAAATAGTGCAGGGAACTTACAGGGGGGTTTATGACCTACTGCCTAAAGCTGTGCCCCCAGCAATAGCTATATTCACACGTCACTGGATACATGCCAAGTTCTAGGCTAAGCAAAAATTAGTAATCTCCGAGTGCAAAAGAGAGACAAAAAGACAGACATTGTGCCCACCTTCCTCCCCCACCTCCGGTTCCCTTTAGGCCTTAGGTCACGTGGGTACAGTCCAGGGGTTTGCTTTGGCATGAGGAGCACCTTAGAGTCCCTTCAGCTTCAAAGAAATCTGTGATGCCGAGGACCCTGGCTATGAAGTCACCCCAAACCCTGCCTCCAGCCTGGAGTCTTTATACCACTCATCTTAGGAGCCAACCCCAAGCCTGGCATTCAAAGGGAGTTTCTAAGAGCAAGAGTCCCATGGAACTCTCAGCAGGTGTGCGGACCACAGCTGGAGAATGTGAGAATGAGGAGCGGCAGTAGCCTTAGACACTGGAGTTCAGCATCAGGGACAGGTGCAGTGATGTCTGAATGCAAACCCCCTCCCCAGGGGCCTGCAGACTTCCTAAATTCAAATTCCAGAAGCCCTAGGAGATGGAGACAGCAGATTGTTTTAAGGTAAAGCAGAATTGCCTGGAAACCCAGCCCTGGGATCTGTATAACTGATGATTTTGTCTCTGCCATGAATCATTCATGAATAATGTGAAGGGAGATAGAGCTGGATGGATACTGGTTGAGCACTGGGATGCTGAATTACGATGTGTCACCGTGACTGGGCCGAGAAGTGCCCAGACATTTGGTCACACGTCATTCTGGCTGTTTCTATGAGGGGATTTTGGATGAGACCAAATGTCTCAGCAGATACACTGGTAAACTGAATGAAGGAGATTATCTCGCCTAATGGGGTGGGGATGAGCTGACTCCACCTGCCTGACAGCCTTTAAGCCAGGACATTAGATTTTTCTGTGTCTCCAAGTTCAAATGGAAACACCTGTTCTGCCTGAGCCTCGCCCCTGCTGGCTTTGGGATGGAAATAACCGTCAGGTCTCCTGATCTCTGAGCGTACTCAGCTCAGTCCACACCTTGGGGCTACTTGCTTGCTGTAAACTGATCCCTCCCATAAGGTGGTTCAGAGTCTCCACATGCAGAGCACCATGTGGGAGCCCAGCTAAATAACATGTCGGCCAAGGGCTGTGTGTTGGCCTTTCTGGCCAGCTCCGGGGGGCATGGATGTGGCTGGCCCACAGGCCTCTGGAGTGAAAGGCCCCGGATAATTCCTATGATCACAGCTTGATTAATGCATGTCCTGTATCCTGCAAAAGGGGACTGTAAGAGCATGAGGAAATGAAGATGACCTTTGAGGTCTTGTAAACCTGTCACTTCTTTCGACATACTTGTTTAATTTTTTTTTCCTTTTGTTCTTTAGTATACTCCTCTAGGATGGTCACTATGCACTTTTAAATTCTGGATGTAGAAATGTCAAGCTTAGATAAATTGGTTGGGATTTTGAAGTCTTCTGTGTTGTAATTTTACAGGAACTGAAGGCACTGGCTTAGTCCAAGCTGCCAGTAGACCGATTTGGACTTGTGTTCTGTGGAAGGCGTGGGTCTCCTTTAGCCATGGTAGGGCCTGAGGCCAGAATCCCAGCACAGTTGATGGACTTGATTTCACAGAGGGGAGAGTAAGGACCCCAGGTGATGAATGAAACAACCTCGAGTGGACTGGGAGGGGAAGCAGTGGAGATGGCTGGCCTTTCCTGCCAGTTCTTGCAGTGTCAAGGGATCAAACACCGTGGCTTCTCTTCTGCCTTCTCCATGCTGGAGCATCCAAATCCACAGGAAGCCAAGATGACAAGCATCCTGGCCTTGGCCATCTGGGGAAGTTAGCCTCTGGGGCTGCAGAACAAGGCAGGGAACTGTGGACGGTGGATGCAGACGGAGACCCCCCCTCCCACTCCCCCACCCCCCTCACCCCCCCTATAGCAGCCAGCACAGACACTACCTTCCATAACCGACCCTTCCGGCTATGGCTTCAGACACACACACACACACACACACACACACACACTCAGTGTGTGAAACCATTGGGGAGATCTACCCAGCACGCTGAGTGGGAACCCAGACGCCCAGGACACATCAGGCCACAGAGGGGTATGTAGCACAGAGCTGGTTTCAACCAAGATGCATTTCTGGAGAGTGTGATTTTGAGATTGGTTTGCAAGCAGCTGAGACACATGGAGTAGGGGAAAGGAAGGAAGTGGAGAGGATGGTTGAGCGGCTTCCTAGGTTGGTCTTGAGGTTTGCATGAAATGGAGGAAGGTAGAATGACAGTAATGCAAGGCACTACACCTTGCAGTGTAGTTTGGCGCATGCATTGCATCACTTACGCTTCACCACAACCAGGGAGTGACACCTATGAGACGTTCCTAATCGTGTTACAGATGGAAATACTGATGGCTGGGAACAGCTCCTTTATCAAGTGTGGTAGACAGAATTATTCCAAATGATGAGGGAGCTTCAAAAGCTGGGCGAAAGGCGGAGTGGAGCTGAGGAACTGAGTTTGCAGCATCCCACCCACTTCCCACCAGACCTGGTGGGTGCTCTTTGCCAGCCCCTTCCTGTTGCAAAACCTGCTCAGGTGACCTTAAGCTTGGCAGAGGGACTTGGCACTGGTGGTGAAATGCGAGGGAGAGCGATGACCGCCATTGCTGAGCTCCATCAGCCCACTCTTCCACTGCTCTTTCCCTTCCAGATGGACACTGCCCTGTTATCCGGGGGCCCTGAGAGCCCAGCTGCAGTGGGAGTGTCCCAAGGCAGAGCATGCTGGCCATGGGTCAGTACGACGATGATGAGCCGGGGCCACTGGTTTCCGCCTGGTGCTGCATCGCGAATCCTCATTTAGAGTTGGGTGTTCAGAGCAGCCGTGAAGACACCCACATCACAGGACCTTGTCTATTTCCTCCTAGTGCAGACTGTGGGAGGCAGACCTGGCTCGGGAACCCAGATCCCGGCTTGGCCTTGTCTGCTGCAGGCATTCGCAAAAGAGCCGACAAGCGCTCTCTGTCAGATGGTCTGTTTCTCCACCTCTCAAATAAATTAATAAAATTGAATATAAAAATTTAATGTAATACATTTAGTAAAATTCAATACAAAAAAGAATACGTTTTTGGGTTTCATATTCTTTTTACTGATACGAAGTACTTACTTCAAATTAGTTGTTCTTGAGTCATTTTGCCTCTTAACAAACTTGTGATAACCATGCTTTCTTCTTTTTTTAAACAGTTTCAGAGAGCTGTAAGGACACATGTCTGCATGCAGAAAGAGAGAGACCTGGGCTTCCCTGCTTCATTTCCCAAATGGCAGCAGCAGCAAGGGTCGGGCTACCCCAAAACCAGGACCAGGAGCTTCTTCTGGGTCTCCGGCGTGGATGCCAGCACTTGGACCATCTTCTGCTGCGTCCCATGCACATCAGCAGGAAGCTAGATCAGAAGTGGAGCAGCCAGGACTCAAACTGGCATCTAAATGGTGCTGGCATTGCAAGTGACAGCTTTGTCCACTGCTCTGCAATGCTGGTCCTGGATAAACACATCTTTTAAATCTGCATCTAACGTTATCAAGTAACCTTAGTCCTTCACATCCCGGGGGAAAAAATGTGTATGTTTCAATACACCTTGCATATCAAGACTATAAAAACAACACATCTTTTTATATCCAAATATTTTATAGCTGTACCCAAAACAGAAGAGCAAGCAAAACAAACAAAAAAATAAATAAACAAAAATTCTACATTCACATATGTCTGACTAAAGGCTGAAGCTGTCGAGTAAAATAGCAAAAGCTTGGTGTTGATTTATTAGAGCTGCGACTTCAACGGTCACGTTCTCACTAATGAGCTCTGGCCAAGTGGGGGCAAGTAGGCCAGGGCTGGCAGAAGGAGCCGTTGTTGAGCACCACAGTCCATCTCGGCCCGGGAAGCTCCCACCTGCCCATCATCCCCTGTACTTCAAAGACTTCATGGAGAAGGAAATTCAAAGGTAAGCTTATTTTGTTGCAAAAATCTCAAAATTCATGCATATAAATGGATCTTAGGTGTACAATGAAGAACTATCCCGAGATTTCAAAGAGAAACCTTTGCGCGAAAATTAATCCTGCCTTTGATTCTCTCTCCACAGACTTTTTTGAAATGCCCTTGTTCCTGTATTCTATGTGTGTACAGACAGAGATGGGGGACTCTTCCTCGCCCACACACCTCTCCCTGCCAAGCTGATAACAGGGGGGCATCACCAACAAAAGCCAGTCGCTCCCTCCCTAGATTATTTCTTTCCTTTGTGCAAGAAACATGCAACAGCCACACTAGCAAAGGAAAGGGAAAGAATGGCTCCTTTTGTGTGCCACCTACACATGCGTGAGTGAGTCTGCTGGGTCACTTTGATGGGGCATCTTCCTCTGCCTTCTCCCAGGCATCCTCACATGATATTCCGCTGTCGCTGCCTGCCGGAGGAGCCTTGGTTGGCTTGCCACAGGCTCCTCCGGGGTGGGGGCGGGGAAGAGCTGCTCATCGGCAGAGCCCCGTGCTTCTGCTCTGGCCTCCCTTGCCGCACGCGGACCTCCTCATCTGTCTGTGATAGGGAAGGCGATTCCCGGTGTTTTGGGGACTCTCCTGGCTTTGCTCCTCTGAGCATAGTCTCCTCCCTGTCTCCCTGCACTTCCTGCATGCCGCTGTCCCCAGGATCCTGTTCCCAGAGAAGTCCCTGTCACCTGGGTGCCTCTGGAGCTCACTCCCCCATCTGGGCTTCAGTGGGTCAGTGTGGCCAGGTGCAAGTGGCTTCTATCCACCAGAGGGAAGAGACGGGAGGGAGGCTATTTCGGAGGACTTAGCCGGGCAGTACCACTGGCTTGCGGACGGAGTTTGTGCCAGTCAAAACAGCTCGCGGCTGGAGGAAGAGGATGGTGATCTGGGCTCTGTTCTGTGAGCTTGTCATGCACAGGGCGCAGAAGGAGAGCCCTGCATCATCTTACCCACAACCTGTGTGTCCGAGCAACGCTGCCTCACCCTGCAGAGAGGGCCGCTCTCCCAGCCGCTGGCAGGCTCCTTGTGGCTCACAGGCTAGGGCTGCTCCTTTCCCATCTCCTGTTTCCTGCCCAGCCTGTGACTCAGTCATTTGATTCATGCTTGTTTGCACATGTGAAGAAAGTGGATACCAGATGATCCAGCCCCCACAGACTTCTGTCAGGGCACCCCACTGCCTCTTGTAGGACATACACATGAAGGAATCCAGCAGGGAAGAAAGAGCCACATATCTAGGAAACAAGGGCAAAATTCATCCAACTTGCAGAACAATGTACATTTCCCAGGCCCAGAAGTGACGGAAGGGATGTTTGGGGAGGAGTTGCATTTGGCTATGGTGCATGTAGGTGCCTCACAGGGCGACCCTGTAGTCTCTCCTAAACCCAGATGCTCCGCGGGGGGGGGGGGGGGGGGAAGGGGGGGGGACCTGGCCACAGGGCCTCTTGTAGAGCCAGCCTTTCTTGTCACTCTGTGGGGACTGGAGATGGGCTTCTGTGTTGGAAAGGTCAGAGGTACAGCTGGGTTTCCTCTGTCTCCATCATCAGCCAGGAGACACCAGCCTGGGATCTGGGGAGCAAATCCAGGCTCGGAGCTGGTTCAGTCACAGCAACCTGTGCTCCATCACTAGCCACTGGGGCCGGCAGTCAGCGGGTGGGGAGGGACCTTGCCATCACAAGCTCCTGGAATGTAGAGGGAGGCTGGAGTGATGGGACTCTTGATGGTGTCTGTGTTGTGGAAATGCATCCTGCAGTCCATGGTCCCAGTGGGGCCCCTTCAAAGACTGACGGACAGGAAGCAGAGAGCAGACACCGAGATGCAGAGAAAACATAGAGCTAGGAACGTCATGGGGCCTTCCTGCCTCCGTGGCTGGGCATCACAGGGGACCCCGGTTGGCTAAAGCCTGGAGCGGTGTTTCCACAGATGCTGGGCACCAGCAGGGTGGTGATGGAGCTGAGCATCCATGGCACCGAGCAGAAGGAGTGGACACAGGACGGGGTCGACAGGCAGCAGTTAACATGAAAGCTCACAGAAAAAGAGATTTAAAGGGAACATTCATTTCAGAGTAAACATTTTTTAGGGAACCTTAAAAAAATCTCATGGGAAACACTTACCAGGAGAACCTACACACAGATGTCAAACATGTTTTTGCACCAGACACACTTATCTTCACGCCCTTTTGCATGAATCATTAGAGCCCTTGCATTGGCCAACAGAGGCCAAGGGGAACATGCCAGGCAAGAGTTAACGAGAGCCAGTCCGATGAGCGACATGGCACATCCTTACCGTAACGTCCTCTCTCAGTTTCCTCACTAAAGCTTTACTAGGACAATGGGACAGGCCAGCAAATGTGTTTTAGGACAGAAAACAACTCCTGCTTCTTGCTACATATGTTGCTTTTGGAAAGTGTGTGTTCATATGATTTTCCCCCAAAAAATGTGATCATCCCAGGTTTTGGTTTCTCAAATCTGGACACGTAAGAGAGTGTTTTTATTTTCTCGCTTTTGCTAAAAAAAGAAAGAAAGAAATGAAGGAAGAAAGAAAGAAAGAAAAAGAAGGAGAGAAAGAAAGAAAGAAAGAGAAAGAAAGAAAGAGAGAGAGAGAGAGAGAGAGAGAGACTTAAGGAAAAACAAGATTGACATTAAAAACCATTGACATTAAAAAATAGTTAAAATCAGGTTTTGCCTTATCCCATGTGCTGGAGATTAAAAACCATCTTATCTCCTGTTTCATTGACTGAAAGTCACACTTTTCCCTGGATTTGCCTCAGCCTGTTGGAGTTAGTCCTGCAGACTGTTTCAATGTATTCCTCTCACAATGCGTTAAACTCCCCTGGAAGTCAAGGTTAAGTATGAGAAATCACTGTGCAGTCCTGCTAGGTTCTGAGAAGAGACATTGTCCTTGCTTGAGACATGTAAGGGGGTGACTGGCGCGCGGAGCCTTGAGCTGGGTTGTTAAAAGTCAGGACAAATGAGGGCCAGCCCCATTTCCTGACTGGCTGTCTTTGTACTGTCAGTTTTAAGCAAACACAAGCCTTAAATTTTTCTTAGCCGGGAACTCAGTTAAAAGGCAAACCTAGACACAGCTTTGTGCAAGGTCAAGGGATTTAGGTTGCTTCAGTTCAGGAAGGAAGGGGCTCTAAAGATGAAGGACACCTATAGCAAACAAATTGTTCCGTCCCCCACCCCCCAGACTGCCCGGGGAGCTCTCCATCAGGACGCGAACAGGAACCTCTGCTGTGGCGATGGCGGCAGAAGGAGGGAGAGATGCTAAGGCAGCCGGTAGTGCCAGCCCCAAGTGTGTCAACTCCACTTTCCCTTGTTCCCCAAATGCTAAGTTCATTAGAGGGTTAAGAAGCCAACATTCCCACAACGTTTTGTTTTTGCAGTACCTCCCACATTCACTTTTATTTAAAGTGAAACTTAATTCCTTGCTTTGCTCCCGGCTGTGACATAAATGTCTGTTGCTGGTGTGTGTGCCAGAAAATCCAATTGCCAGGGAAGTGTATATTGTCAGGTTCAGGGCCATGTGTTAGGAAGTTGTCTGCTTCTTGGCCCTGCACTGCTATTCAGACAGGTTTCGTGATGTGGTCTGAGGCATGTCTGGCAGTAAGCATGACTAAATCCTGGCTACAGTGTCACAGAGGAAGACAGACAGGCCTGTGTGCCCGGCCTTGCAGTGAAAGGCAGGGAGGGGTTGCATCCAAGAGGTGGAAAGCAGGGTTGCTTAAGTACTTGCAAATGTTTAGTCAAGGTCTACCTAACGGAGCAGCCCTGGTGCTGCTGCTGCTGGCAGCGGTGATGAGAAGCTTTCTATGGAGAACCAGAAATAGGGCAACTGTCTTATGACGAGCACAGCAGGAATGCAGCTACAAGTCTCCCTCAGATGGAGCATTTTCAGAAAGTGTGTAGAAAACGTCTATTTTTTAAAAACTCTATGAATGCTTTTCAAATCAAGTTAGTCTTAAGTTTGTAATGTGTGTCTGAGTAAGCTTTAGTTTGAGGCACTGAGAAGGGTCAGCCATGCTAACTGAGCCACACAAATTCTGCTAAAATTGAAGAACCAACATCAAACGGATAGTAGAATAGTGAAGTCGTGGTTGGTCAACAGATAACTTGTGCTCAGGAGGGATGAGATGGTGTCGAAAAAGAAGCCCGCAGAGGCAGACCATCGTATCCATCTGGGATGAAGAAATGAATCTCATTTCTGTGCTGTAGTGGCAGGGCACCCACAGTTCACAGCAGAAACCACAGTTGACACCATAGGGAGCTTAGCTGACACAGTTCACACAGAGAAA